CTTAGCTGTCTTCCCTAAACTCAGCCTCTTGCCACCTGCCACAAGTTACCTATTAGAAGAGTTCATGAGATGCCGTGTGCTCCCACTCCATGACAAGTGTGTGGAGGATGTCTTCATGATGACTGCCACATTGTGGCCTGGGCACCAGGGTGAATCCACAGTGGCTGGGGATCCTCCTGAGTGTCTTACAGTAGATGTGGAAAAACAAGCACAGGACTTCGTTTTCACAAGAGGGAGGGCACAGATCTCCTGCTGAGCTTTCTACTTTTGAGCATGCCAGCTCTGCCCTTTCTCAGTTTCTCCACCTATAAATGCAGCCAATTTCTAAAAGAGGACTGACAGGCAAGCCAAAGGGGAACCTTTGATCTGGGGGAAGTGCTTAGGGCTGGAGGTCAAGAGTCATGGATTCTAGTTCTCCCTGGGTCCCAAAGGTCCCTTTGGGTCCTCAGACAAATACTCCAGCCCCTCACTTTATAGAAGAAGAAACAGAGAGCCAGGGGCGCTGGCTCACATCTGCAATGCCAGCACTTTGGGAGGCCAAGGCAGGTGGATCCCCTGAGGTTGGGAGTTTGAGACCAGCCTGGGCAACATGGTGAAACACTGTCTCTACTAAAAATACAAAAATTAGCCAGGTGTGGTGGCAGGCACCTGTAGTCCCAGCTAATCGGGAGGCTGAGGCAGGAGAATTGTTTGAACCCAGGAGGTGGAGGTTGCAGTGAGCCGAGATCACATCACTTCATTCCAGTCTTGGTGACAGAGCAAGACTCTGAAAAAAAAAGAAGAAGAAGAAGAAGAAGAAGAAGAAGAAGCCACCCAAGGACCATCTCTAAGAACCGTACTAGTTTAAAAGTTTATGCATCTCTGATCTCTCCCTTTTTACCCGGGTCAGAAGCTGAGCTGTAGGACCCCCACCCCCACCCACCTCACCATTTGCTATCACTGCCACCTATGTGGTCTGCTGAGGTTGTGTGCACTTAAGGAGTTAGCTAGGACACAGAGGGGACCTGGGTCTTCCCAGGGACCCAGGCAGCCCTTTTCTTTCTTTTCTTTTTTTGAGACAGAGTTTCACTCTTGTTGTCCAGACTGGAGTGCAATGGCGTGATCTTGGCTTACCGCAACCTCTGCCTCCTGGGTTCAAGCAATTCTCCTGTCTCAGCCTTCCAAGTAAGTAGCTGGGGTAACAGGCATGCACCACCATACCCGACTAATGTTGTATTTTTAGTCGGGTATGGTGGTCTCGAACTCCCGACCTCAGGTGATCCACCCACCTTGGCCTCCCAAAGTGCTGGGATTACAGGCGTGAGCCACCATGCCCGGCTCAGGCAGCCCTTTTCTATCTGCCTCTGACACTGGTCCCTTGGGAACTCTTTCCATTTCCTCCTCATCATCCTTAAAGCTGAACAGCAGTGTCCAAGATCAAAACTTCTCAAGTACTCTCAGGCTCATGAATGGATAGGAAATACCCAACATATATTAGATTCTCAAGCAGGAGGATGTCAGTCCTTCTTCCTCAGCAGTATTACATAACGATCGTTAGTGCTAAAACTAACATTCTCTCCAGATGGCTCAAATGCAAGTTCTCTCATCGAATCTTTACACTAACTCTTTCTGGTAAACACCATCACTCCCATCTTACAGATGTTCAGGGCAAGTACATATCTAATAATCGATGGAATTAGGACTGAGAATTTATGTCTGTGTGGTTTCTCTGATCACACTAGACTGTGGCCACACAAAAAATACCAAGTAAAACACTATATAGCAGAGTTTAGTTTTAAGTAACTTGATAGGATATCCAAATCCAAATTGCTTCATAATGGAGACCTGTTGCTAAAGCAGGACCATGTTTATAAGAAAAGGTGTTTGGGACTTTTTTTTTTTTTTTGCCTTAAATGCTGTAAAGTGTTTTCATGTGCTCTGCAAAATATTGAAAAACAACGACCAGGACTTGTGGATTGTGTTCTGAGGATGGGTTGTGGATGCTGTGGCATATGGTCCTAGGTATGTGTCTGAGTGCTCTGGAAAAAGAGGCAAAGACTTTGATATCTGGAGTTGCCAAAGCAGTGTGGCAAAGCACATGCTGCATGGACTCTGAGCTGCACAGCAGTGCTTTCGGGCTGCCTCAGTTTAAAACCCCTCTACAATGTGTCAGGTGTGTGGATTTGTCTTTCCCTGTGGTCTGGGAAGCTGACTGAGTCTGGCTAGTGATATGACAGTTGGAGGGGAAATAACAATAGGATGGCCTGTTAAGAAGTGTTGGGGGCAGTGGGTTGGACACTGTGGCTCAAGCCTGTAATCCAACACTTTGGGAGGCCAAGATGGGAGAATTACTTGAACTCAGGAGTTCAAGACCAGCCTGGGCTGTATAACAAGGCCTTGCCTCTATTAAAAAAATTTAAAAACCGAAAATTAGCCAGATGTGGTGGCATATGCCTGTAGTCCCAGCTACGTGGGAGACTGAGGCAGAAGGATCCTTTGAGCCCAGGAGATGGAGGCTGTAGCGAGCTGATATGGCACCAGTGTACTCCAGCCTAGGGGACAGAGAAAGACCCTGCCTCAAAAGCAAAACAAAACAAAAAAAGAAGTGCTTGGGGCTCTTAACTTTTTCTTCCCCTGTTGAAGAAATTAGTCCAAAAGCCATAGGAGGGGGTGAGCAAGGCATGTGTTGGATGTGTGTGTGTGTGTGTGTGTGTGTGTGTGTTGGAGTACAGGGAGAGAAAGAAGAGCTTCCTATGCCAAAAGGAGGGTACCAAGGAGGAAATGCAGATGGGGAGGGTGCCCTTGATAGGGATGGCTCTGCTTAAGGTGTTGGCGGTCCAGTGGGATAAGGAAATTGTCCAATCAAGGTGGTAAGGCAAGGAAGGCATTTGTGGGGTGGGTGTGATGACATAGACCAGGAGTTGGAAAAAGGACAGAGTAAGGAGGGGGTCCAAAGTTGGGGGGGATGGAGGAAGATCTGCAGTGTGGTTGATGTGGGATGTCAGAGCCTTGAGTAAGGTAAGGAGGGCATCTGCATGAGGAAGGCACCCAATGGAAGACTGGCTACATACAGGGGGATTGATCAAATGAGTAAATACATTAAGAATCATGAGAGCTAGGTCTCTCACTGTTGGAGAAGAAGTTACTAGGGTATTGTATTAGAATTGGAGGTCTTAGTGTGAACTTACAGTTTTCAATATTTATCTATATATCTATATGCAAATATAGAAATCATTAAATATATAAATGTGTGTAGAGCTCTGCCCACTGAGAAGGCCTGGAAACAGCAACACCCTAATAGCATGAGCATACTTAGCACATACATCTTGGTTTTTGAACACCATTTTCCAATAAAAGAAATGAGGCTTCTTGGAGAAATGGCTGAATTTACAGCAAAGTGCAAGATGAGCCTGGAACATCTTATTATACCTGAAAGCAAGGAAGGACTCAATGAATGATAGTGACATTATCAAATGAACATAGCAACCAGCTCCAAGGGCTCACACTGGCAAGATCTGGGACAATTTGTGTATCAAAATAAATACCCATAGTAACAGATTATAACTCATTGAATAAGAGAAAACTGTGTGCATATGCAGACACGAATAAATGAATATATTGAATATTTGATGAGATGTGGAGTATTTACATAGTTTTAAAGTATCTCTTTGCAAAATATTTATTTCGAAAAGTACAAAAGGGAAATGAGTAACTTCATAGTAGACAGGCTTGACAGGTGCCATCATAATCAAGGGATCAAAGTGCATATCATCAGTAATGGGCTAACCTGAAGGCATGTGTTGCCTGATAGGGTGCAATAAGAATACAGCATCCCTTACGTGATATTTTTGCCAAAGATGCATACACTAAATCTAATCATAAGGAAACATCAGACAAACACAAAATGTGGGACATTTAACAATATAACTGGCCTATGATCTCTAAAGGTAGCAGTGTTATAGTAACCAACAAAAGACATCAGGAACTGTTACAGAATGAAGGCTGCAGATACAACTAAATGCATCCCATGATGCTGAACTGAATCCTCGTGCTGGAAAGGACATTGTTTGGATAAGTGGGAAAACTGAATAGGGTTTGAAGATAAGATTTTAGTAATATGGCAACATTAGTTTCTGATTTTGACTTTTGGTGTTTGTGTTGTGATCACATAGGACAATATCCTTATATGTAGGAAAAACATCTTAAAGTGTTAGGGAGGTGGTAATAAGGCATCATATGCACAACTTATGTGTCAAATGTTTACAAAAAAGTTCTTTGTACTATACTTGCAACTGTTCCACGGATTGTAAAATGAAAGTTAGAATTAAAAAGAGAAAAAGTGTGAGGGAGAGTGGGCTTCTTGGCTGAATCAAAAAGGAAAGGGGATGCAGCCCCTGAGCTGGCAGAGCTGTGAACAGGCTGGGGGGTTGGGAACTGAAAGCCTGGGGTTTCGGGGACAAGCAGTCCTTATCTGAAGCTAAAAGGCAGAAGGCTTATGGGCAGGTGGCTTCTGTTCTTCCTGAAAAGCCCTCTCTAGTTTGAGAGCAGCAAGGTGCTACCTGTCGCTATACTAGAGACCCCCAAGAGGAAGGGACTGTGTCTTACTGTGATGGTTAATTTTATGTATCAACATGAGTAGGCCATGGGATACCCAGGTATTTTGTCAAACATTACCCTGGGCATTTCTGTCAGGGAGTTTTAAATGAGTTTAACATTTTTCCAATTTTTTAATCATTATTTTTTTGAGACAAAGTCTCACTCTGTTGCCCAGGCTGGAGTGCAGAGGCATGATCTCAGCTCACAGCAGTCTCGACCTCCCAGACTCAGGCAATCCTCCCACCTCAGCCTCCCAAGTAGCTGGGACTACAGGTACACGCCATCATGCCCAGCTAATTTTTTTTGTTTGTTTTGTTTTTGTGGAGACAGGGTTTTGCCACATTGCCCAGGCTGGCCTTGAACTCCTGAGCACAAGCTATCCACCTGCCTCCACTTCCCAAAGTGCTAGTATTACAGGCATGAGCCACCGCATGCACACGGCTGAGTTTAACGTTTAAATCAATAGACTAAGTAAAGCAGATTGATCTCCCTAATGCGTGCATGTAGTGGGGGCCCATCAATCAGTTGAAAGTCTGAATAAAATGAAAGGCTGACCCTCTCCCAAATAAAAGGGAATTCCTCCTGCCTGACTGTCTGCAAGCTGGGATGTGAGGGTTTTTTCTCCGGCCTGAGGGTAGGAATTGCACATTGGCACTGCTGGGTCTCTAGCGTGCCTACTGCAGATCTTACTGGCTTCCAGAATCACGTGAGCCAATTCCTTATAATAAATCTCTCAATTGGTTCTGTTTCTTGAGAACTCTAATAGTTTACTTTCCTGCTATCTCTCTTTGCTTACATTGTCTCCTACTATAGGACTGACACAAAGTAGATGCTTAAGAGAAAGTTTTTAAATGAAAATATAAAGGAAGAGGGTGATTACGTCAGAGGCACAGAGAACAGCATGGTGTTGGGAACAAGGGTGAGGGGTGAGGAAACCTTAGCTGAACTTGTGCGGTCCTTTCACTGCTCTGGGGCCCGTGAACATCTTGTGTGGATGCTGCCTGCTCCCTACCGCTTTAGGACCAACAGCTTTGTATGTCTGTTGTGTAGTAACAGAATGATTAGACTGAGACGGCAGGGATGTAGTGGAGAACGAGTTTAATGATTGCAGGACGACAAGTGAGGAGACAGGAGGAGACCTTCAAATTTATATTTCTGTGGAGTTTTGGGCTGGAGTTTTTAAGGGGATTGTGGAGGATGAGGGGCTATCATTGACTGGTTGGGCATGGGGTGCAGTGGGGCGGGGGATGAAAAGCTCAGGATGTGGAAACTGCATTCTTTGGTGAGTCAGCTCTTCATGGGGTCCTTCAGACCAGCTGAGCCAGTAGTTTCATTAGTATGTAGGACCTGAAGGAATATTTCAAAGGAAGAACTTAACATTTTGTAATGTTTAAGTTGTCTATAAACATTACAGCCCAGGGTCTACATGATTCCAGGGTCTATAGTCCAAGGTCTATGTGATTCCAGAACAATAGACACCAAATAACTATGAGGAAGCAGGTCAGAGAACAAGGTGACCTCATGATTCATACTGAGTGGACTATAAATCGGTTTATTTTTCTTTCTCATCTATCTTTTTAAAAATTAATTTTGGCCAGGCACAGTGGCTCACGCCTGTAATCCCAGCAATTTGGGAGGCCGAGGAAGGTGGATCACCTGAGGTCGGGAATTCGAGACCAGCCTGATCAACATGGAGAAACCCTGTCTCTACTAAAAATACAAAATTAGCCTGGCATGGTGGCACATGCCTGTAATCCCAACATAATGTCTTGAGATGCCGTCCCCAGCTGGTCATGCTATCCAACTTCCTCTTTCATTACTGAGTTGATTCCATGTTATAGAATACTATCACAGTTGTTTAACAATTTACCTATCATCAGACATTTGCTTATTTCCAGTTTTTGCTATTATAAGTAAAGCTGCTGTGATAATTATGTACAAGTTCATTAACGAAAAATGTTTATTTTTTCTGGGATATATATGCCTAGGAGTGTGAATGCTGGATAGGTTAAGTGTTTAGTTGTGCCTGTAATCCCAGCTACTTGGGGGAGCTGAGACATGAGAATAGCTTAAACCTGGTGGTGGAGGTTGCAGTAAGCTGAGATTGTATCACTGCACTTTAGTCTGGGTGACAGAAGGAGGCTCTGTCTCAAAAACAAAACAAAACACAAAACCCCACAAAAACACAGAATTATTTCATCACTACAAAGATCTCCCTCATGCTATTCCCTTATAGTTACATCCTCCCACTCCCCACCACCATTCCCTAACTCCTGGCAACCACTAATAATCAGTTCTTCATTTCTACATTTAAAAAAGATGTATTTTGAGAACATTATAGACCTTTTCAGACTGGCTTTTTAAATTATACTGAGAAAGTCCTAGGGTGGGGACCATGGTGTATGGACCATTGAAGTGCTAGAATGTTGTAGTATCTACTACCAGATCTGTTTGACCCCAAAGGCCATGCTCTTCCATCATGCCATGCTGTCTCCTTAAGAGTAAAGGAGAGAAATGAACTATTGGTTACCTGGAAGCTGAAAATTCTTGGGCATATGTTTGGTTGACTGAATCACATTTTGATTTATTTCTGAAGATGGACTATTTTGCATTCAAGTTGATGGCTTAGTGCCATGTACATCAGGAGCATCTAGTGTAAAACAAAGTCCTTCACGAGGGCCAATCAAGGGAAAGAGCCTCTGTACAAAAAGCTCCTATTATCACAGTTGATGGTGCTTTGTCCTGAGATAATTAGGTCAGAAAGGGCCCTGAAGCCATCTGAAAAGGTCTATAATGTTCTCAAAATACATCTTTTTTAAATGTAGAAATGAAGAACTGATTATTAGTGGTTGCCAGGAGTTAGGGAATGGTGGTGGGGAGTGGGAGGATGTAACTATAAGGGAATAGCATGAGGGAGATCTTTGTAGTGATGAAATAATTCTGTGTTTTTGTGGGGTTTTGGTGTTTTGTTTTGTTTTTGAGACAGAGCCTCCTTCTGTCACCCAGACTAAAGTGCAGTGATACAATCTCAGCTTACTGCAACCTCCACCACCAGGTTTAAGCTATTCTCATGTCTCAGCTCCCCCAAGTAGCTGGGATTACAGGCACACACCACCACGCCTGGCTATTTTTTTTTTTTTTTTTTTTTGTATTTTTAGTAGAGCCAGGGTTTCACCATGTTGGCCAGGCTGGTCTCGAATTCCTGGCATCAAGTGATCTGCTCTCCTTGGCCCTCCCAATGTACTGGGATTACAGGCATGAGCCACTGCACCTGACCATAGTTCTTTATCTTGACTGCAATCATAGTTACACACAAATTGACACATAAAATAACAGAAGTATTAAACACATTGTATCAATGTCAGTTTCCTGGTTTTGATATTGTTCTGTAGTTAATTGAGATGTAACCATTGGGAGAAACTGAGTGAAGGGTAAACAGGACCGCTCTATTAATCTTTGCAAATTCCTATGTCTGTAATTATCTCAGATTAAAAATTATTTTAAAATGTGTGTAGAAAATTACAAATAACCAAATGTTTCTTTTGAGAGTATCTCTCTTAGACAAACAGAAACATTCTTTAGCAATGAAACATTAAAGACCAAAGATCATATGGCTAGTTATAGAACATAGACCAGATCCCACACCCTGTTATCA